TGAAAAATGAGAGGTTTAGTTCATCTCTGAATAAGGAAGGATGGAATGGAACTACAGTATGCAACTGTAGATGCAAACTCCCATATACTAACCATTCTACTATGTAGAACTCTGAACTCAGAATGCAGAAACCAAGACATGTTGAACTGAAATTGCCGGAGGTGACAGTTGGCAAACCACAAGATTACGCACCATGTTCGAAAGCAAACACATGCATCTATGATCTATCTTCTGGTGGTAGCGTCAGTGCACGATCTAAGTAGCAGTAAATTTCATCAGATAAGCCCACAAAGAATAAAAATCACCAGATCATTCAGCAACAGTGAGGAACACAGACAGAAGAAATCCATAAGCAGAGAAGCATGAGCCAATCTCTACAAAAATCAAAAGAAAAAAATGTGCACACACACGCACATATCAGCCAGTTCTAGCATACATCGATCTATCAAAGCATCAGGCCATCAGCCACCCATTAGAGAAGTGAAAAATGAAAGGATTCAAACTTACGCACCAATCCATCTAAGCATCAGGCCAAAGGCAGCAGGAGCGAAGTGCTCTGATGAATCCGCTTGGCGCAGCTCCGATCCCCTCACGCATCTCGGCGGCGATGCAACCCCGGCCCCCTCGCTCACCTCTAATGCGGCGCCAACCTGACCCCCTTTCTCTGCCTTGTCCCTCCTCACGTCGCCCACGATCGACATCCATATGGGGCACCATCCAAGCTAGCGGCATTGTCCAATCCACTTTCCTGCCCATAGCAAAATCTCAGTGTGGCCATATCTCTTAACAGTTAAGGAATATTACAAAACAACACAATTGTACAAGCAGTAGCAGTAGCAAGCAACATGCAACCCTGTCAAAAATATTGTACTGCACACTACAAAAAATCTATTCATAAGGAGGGTAACTAAAAAAATCATACTGTGCACTACAAAAATATCTATTCTCATGAAGAATTACGCCAGTTGCGTTAATTAGCAAATGAGGAAAATAATCCATTCATACATCATAAGCAATGCAATAGAAATTGGAGCAGCACCACCAAACATTCATAGGAGGTGATTACCTTGTGAAAAACTGCTAGTGCTCCCAGTTTCAAGTTAAAAGAGCAGGGTCCTAATAAAGAAGAGAATTGGTTTAGAAGTTCATAGGCGGTTTGTTGTAGAACTACTAAATGGAACAATTAAGATAATTTTGTAGCCTCAGCAAGTACCAACTATTTGGCTTATCTAATCTCACAGATTCCTTATTATTTTGATATACCAAGACAAAGTAGGTACTCTGCTCTCAGCTTTATGTTGGACTCAACAAAATACAGTGCAACTATCATGATTTTTTAAGTTGAGATTCATAAAATGAAGATTGGGGTAAAGCATGGCTCTACTTATCTGATGAAGAACAAAATTAAAATTAATTCCATGCTGGTTACTGAATCTGATGAGATATAATACCGCACCCAACCTGAAAGTCTGATCTCTCGCCCATAAATTGTATTCCAGAGTAGCCACATCAGAAACAAATAATATGACACAGAAATTATTATGTTCACTCGTCTTCTCCTTCTTCATCCATAGAATGGATCACAGGAACAGCTATTGACCATCTTATTTGAGCAGGTAGCTAAATCTATCGAATATAAGCATGGAAAAACTGGATCAAAAAATAAAGCACAAAAGAAATTAAGAGAAAAGGGAAGGATGAGAGAGAGAGAGGAATACGTACCCCCGAATGGAGATCCTCAGCAATCAATCATTAGCGACAGCGAGCACTTTGCCGCTGACTGTATGGCCTTCTGTAATTGTGCTAGCAGCATGCCTCGAGTCATTAGCCTATTGAGGACAACAACACCAAGGAGATGTGGCCGTGGAGGATCTGGCCGCTGCCCCGCTGACTTGCTCGACTTGATCTGGGGCGTCCCCGCTTGAAGAACAGAAGGTGAGTGGAGGGCAGCGCCGGCGGGGAAGAGAGCGGCGCGGGCGGGGAAGACGGTGGCTCGGGGTGGGAGGGAAGAGGGCGGCGCCAGCGGGGAAGAGGGCGGCTCTGGGTGGAGCGGCGGCGGCGAAGGGATGAAGGGCGGCGGCGAAAGGAGACCTCGCTCGAGGGCAGGAGTCGTCGATCGTACACGCGGACGATAGGTTTAGATTTTTTTGTCGCTGGTTAGTTTTCGTTGGTTAACCATCGTAGGTTTTTTTCGGTCGTACGTGCATGGATGCGGATTGGGGCCTTAGCATGAGGTTTTTCGATTTGTGGTGGCTAAGTCTGAGGTGAGAGGAGGTATCAAAAAAAACATGGAAGGTGGGACGAAAAAAAACCTAAAAGCGAGACTATCAACTGCTTCATTAAAAATAGAGATGAGGGACACGCCCAAACATTGTCGGACATATCCTGGACAAATAAGGGAGAGGGGGTAATTTACGCATTGCGACTGAAGATGCTCTTAGTGCTTAATTCCTCGAAACCAGGAAATTTAGGAAGCTGATGTTTTTGAGGGGAGGGCTAGAGATGGTTTAACCGTCTAAGGGTGGTGAAGCTGTTCGATTTTTCTGTGGCATGTAATCTAACACTACCCAATTATATATTCTCATTTGAGTCATTTCCATGTTAAACCACACACAAAATGCACTTGTTGTCGGAACTTGGCATTTGCCTGCCCAACCAATTGCTGCAGTCAGTGCAACTATGATCGAGAACTTGGCGAAATCGTATAGCATGATTTTCTGCCTTCTCCATGGTTTGTCCGGGCGAGCTGTAGGTAGCATGCCCAGACTTCAGGAGAGAGAGAGAGAGAGAGAGAGAGAGAGAGAGAGGGGGAGAGAGAGAGAGAGAGAGAGAGTTGTCTTCACACAGAGTGGATTTTACACCACCTTCATAACCTTTGGCCATTCAGGTCACATTACTTCAAAAATACAGTACGTAGCCGCTAGCCTCATGGATGATAGCCATCATTTGCTCACCAAATAAAAACAAAGCACTATCACAGAGGAAGATGCAATGTCCTTCTCTCTTGAATGTTCACTGCTCCCTCAGTTCCTAAATATAAGTCTTTCTTAGAGATTCCAATATAAACCACGTACAGAGTAAAATGAATGAATCTACACTCTATGATGCGCTTATTGAAATCTCTAAAAAGACTTATATTTACGAACGGAGGGAGTATATTGGATTCAAGAAATGGCACATGCAACACACACAACAATGTAAGGCGTATAAGCTTTGCAATGATGTTTACCGTACGTACATACAGAAAGAAGGAACTGAACGGGGAACCAGATTGCACTCTATTATGTACCCAAAAAATTAGCCGAGCACCAAGCCACCAAACCAACGCAAAAGAAAAAGGATTAAAGAGAGAAACACATCAGTCGTCGTCCGTCTCGCCAGTTTTCGCTTTGATCAGTTATATCTACACTAGACTACACCACCCAACAACTGGTTCTGAACGACTTTTTATGTTATTGTACTGCTTCTTGTGAACCATTTCTCTTCCTGCGGCCAAAACCACATCTACACATGTATTCGGGGACTGGCCCCTCATCCCCAGCAACCCAAGGATGCGCAGCCGCAGCTTCCAGGGTGATACGGTCTCCTGGGTCTGCAACAAAACCAAGAGTGTAAATACAAGGAACGCCATTAATAGAGCACGTCCTCCAATATATCCAATAGGATGAAGGGGGGAAAACACTTCTTTGGAAACAAACCTTTGCACAGAAGCCTTTCCAGCAAATCAACAAGTTGGGGGCTCACGTTACTTGGTATATCCGCTGGATCATTGACAATCTATTCGACAGCAGTGACTTTGGTGAGTTTTCTGCCACAGGTAAATCAAGAGAAGGGAGGAATATATGTATGCACCTTGTCGTATGTTTCCTGCAAAGTTTCTCCTAGAAATGGATAGCGCCCAGTAATCATACAATACAGAGTAACACCGACTGCCCATGTATCAGACGATCTACCATGGTAAGCTGAACCTGCAGTGGAAGAAACACAAAATGGTTCATCGTATTTAGCAGCTACTGCCAATGGTCAGGGAACATCAGGTACTTCAAAGCAATGGCAAAGGAACCAGAATCGTTGCATTTTTATTCTATACATTGGCATCACACTGGTAACCCAAGCTTCGGTTGCTTCACACCATAATCTGAATACAAATGCATACTACTAGTGGTGGCCTCATTTCTATGGACATCTGTAATTGTGCGATCATTTAGGTGTGGAACTTCTAAAGTACCATGCTACCCAACTCGAATGCACCGATACGGATACGGGTATCAATATTGGGCCAATACGGATACGTAAATTCGTCATTTTGAAAAAGTGCCAATACGGATACGTTTTACTATTTATTTATTTTTCAAAAAAAGGGATTCAGAATGTCAACCATGACCTTTTTACATGCATGGATTCCATGGTTCCCTGTCTTCTTTAGCAAATGAGCAGAAACTCTAGAGTAGCTACTCAAAGCTTCATGACCACAGTAGTCGCATTTGCATTTAGTGTTGCCCCCTCCAGGTGATTTCTCTATGATTTGAACATGGCTCCACAATGGTGCCCTTAGATTTGTAGGAACAGTCAGCAGGAGGAGTCATCTGGAGGAGATGAGAAAAATGAAATCTTCACAGATCAGAGGAGAAAGAAGAGGGGATGAGCTTGGCTGGGCAGGAAAAAGGAGAAGAGGCGTTGGTGAGGAGTAGCAGCTTGTCGCCGGCTAGCCGCCGCTGCCGCCGGCCCTGGGTGAGTAGCTGCTAGGTACGCAGCCACCAGCCGCCGCCTGGTGTGAGCTCAGGAGGGAGGAAAGAAAACTGGGAGGGAAAGGAAGGGGGCATTGGGGTACTAGGGTTGTTGTCTGCCTCTTAACTGGGCTGAGTGGTCTCTTAGATGGGCTGGGCCGTATCCAAAACGAACTGAAAAAGTATCCTTCAAGTATCTGAATTGTTTTAAATCGTTTATTCATGGATACTCCTTGGATATGTATCGGGAGCGTATCGGAGGAGTATCGGTATCGGATACGGTATCCGATACCGATTTGCTAGTTGCCTGAAGTATCGGTGCATTCGAGCTACCCAATATTAAAAAATAACACGGACTGTTGTACTTGTAGATTGTTTGGTAATTGGCTGGTTATGCATGCGGCTTTTACAACTCAAACCAAAGTCATGCAATTGTACCTTGACAGCACTCCGGTGCAGTGAAAACAGGAGTGCCTGGAGATCTCCGAAGCATATCATCATCATCCTGCAATATGTAGTCAAGTATGGAATATCAGTCAAGCACTGTGCTATAAGGCTCAACAATCCTTAGAAATTTGCCTCAAAACACATACTCCCTCCGTCCCAAAATAAGTGTCCCTGATTTAATACAAAGTAGTATTAAATCAACAACACTTATTTTGGGACGGAGGGAGTACATTGTTAGGCATGAATACTTGTTCAGTTGAAGATAACGAAATATATAATACATATTACGTAATCTACCCTCTATGAAAAAATGCGGGCCTACTAAAATAGTTCAAAACACTGGATCATCAGAGTTCATGTCTACTCGACTAATTTCAAATTTCTCATGAAGGCAGGAAGTGAAGATATTATTCAAGTATGCAATCTGAATTTATAAGATACAAAGTTTGAATCTCAGTATTATACTTTTTTAGAACAGGGCAACAAAAACAACAAACTGGGCCTTGCCCCATTTTGGCTCATTCAACTAAAAAACCTTTGACCTGGCAGTGAGAACAAAATTACTGGAATACAAAAAATTACAAGATAAATGAACCACCTCAAAAATCTGGCTAACACTGAAGTCCCCTATCTTCACATTGCCAGTACTTGTGACCAAGAGATTATCCGGTTTAATATCACTATGAATAATGTTCTGTGTAAAAAAACAAGAAATTAGGTGTTTCTATCAAGCTGGAAGAATATAACTGTATGAAAAATGAATACATTTAAGACATGAATAGCAAGCACATGTAAATATGAGAAAATAGGGGAACCAGAAACATCAATAAGCAACTACTTAAGAAGCGAAAAATTGAGACATATTATGCAAACTTTTCGAAACAGCCTATGATCCTTACTAAAACATGAGGTGAGCATGGATTTACAAACCCGAACTATTGTTTGTCAGTACAATCAGGGGGCTCAAGGACAGAAAAACTCGATAAGTAGCCAAAGCAAACAGGGGTGAGAGTAAAATCTATCTGCTGAGACAATCTGTGCAAGTATGTGAGCTTGCTGATCTACTTCACACAATTGTGTGTTGCCGTACAAACTAGTGCCTCAAATATCTTTTTTGAAATTGCTATGCTAATGAGTAATGACACAGACACTAAATTATTTTAGCACATAATTCCACCATCATGAACCAGTTATTAGTTGATACTGAAAAGAATTAAGAGAACTGAATCTTACATGAGAGTGAAGATACATAACACCAGAAATAATGTCCCGCAAGTACTTTCTGCAAGTAGCTTCTCCTATACCTTTATCCCACACAATTTTTCCTTCCACATACTCAAGAACTGGCAATAAAAAGGTAAAAGACTAAATTGCAATCATATAAAATATTAACATATGCCAACTAGCCTGCTAAAATAACGTCCTATTGGAACAATAAAGCAAAACAATGAGAGCGTCAATAAATACCCATGTAGAATTTATCTGAGTTTGGATCATCAATCACCTCAATGAGATTTACGATATTGGGATGACTCAACATTTTCATGAGGGATACCTGTCACCAATGCAATAAAGAGGTAACTCAATAACACAGTTTATCACATGTAAAATTATTATATATGCAAAATTTATGCTATTTGGTTAGTGCTACTAATCACATGCTTCTGTGATAAAAAAGATAATTGAATCTTTAGAGCACCTATATAGAGGTAATGGCCATCTATTTAATACTCCCTCCGTCCCATAATATAAGATATTACATCGATATACTACGGAGGAAGCACTTTGGAGCATCTAAATGAAAATTTGCTAAAATGCAGCTTCCTCGATGAATATCAGACAGCCAATGGAATTGAAGTAAAGAAGAAAAAGGAACAGGTAATTACGAAATAAACAAAAAACACATGTGTTCTGTAATATGTGTTATGCTTGCACTTAAAATGTGGCATTTAAGTGCTTGTCAGTAGCCGGGAAAATGAATTAATGATGTTCTCGACTGCTCGCCACAGTAAAAATTGCAACGCACTGCACATATATGTCATTGTTAACTTATTTATCAGATAAATGCATTCTGGATCTACGACAGATACATTCTCCATATGCTATGAAGTGGTGATAATGGGTGTCCATATAGGAAGCAATATATGAAAACCAAGCAATTTTGAGTTTTTTATTGAGGTGCTCAACAGAGTGTGATCCGTGGGCATGACCAGCTTGGTTTACTTATGTGTGATAGGTCATGTAGGATTAATAACTTAATATCTTCCAAGCCCACATGATTACTTTCCCAGAGAACTTTGCACATGCCATAACAAAATCGCAAAGTCACAAGTGTTAATACTCTTGTTACTCACTTCCCGAATAACATCTGTCATGGCGGTTTCTGACCGTACGACACGTACTTTCAACATGTGAGGTTTATTCAGCACCTGAAATAACAAGGAAAAATCCACAACTACATCAACTAGACATAGCACTGTGCGCAAAGGGGCACAAAGTAAAGTCGAAAGACTGAGCAAGAAAAACATTGTGCTAAAAATAACAAATGTCCAATAGTGAGTTCTGATGCAAGCAGGTTTCATAGCTAGCAACAAGCATGCAAAGGGTACAACGTATTAGAAAGGCAT